TCACTAATGTAGTCTACATTCCATCCTCCGAGTTCTCTGGGAAGACAAGAGACAAATGCCAGTATCTTCGCTATTACTAACTATAGGAGCATCGAGCCTATCAATATCCATAAGCAATTACGTTGGACTGGGCATGTTACCGGCATGGACGACAGTAGACTGCCAAAGCAGCTACTTTACAGTTACCTAACGAATAATAAACGTAACGCTGGCGGGCAATTGAAAAGGTTTAAGGATAGACTGAAGACAAACCTGAAAAGTACCAAATCGACCCCCTCACCTGGGACACGATTACACCACACCGTATCACTTGTGGGAGCACCACACGGCTGTAAGCCGAGGCAGACAAGAGCCAACGCCAGAAAGACGCTGCCGCCGCTTATCCCTCATTAGATGTAGGCCCCACAAGTGCAAAATCTTTGAATGACCCTGCCGGTTCCGCATCGGCCTCTTTAGTCACCTCAGAGCTCACAGGGAGGTACTACCGGCCGGGAAGATATTGGAAGCATATGTGTTGTCTAGTGGTAGAACCTGCTGCCATATGGCATAACAAAAATTGTGACCAAGACCCAGGGTGCTAATCTGACTTTCTGCCTCATTTACACACAATTGCAGGGTCTCAATTGTTTCTCTTACTATTGACAACACAACAAACATACTGTTTATTGTTTCTCATTCTTAATTTATTTTTCGTTTTTTATTTTTTTTTATTTTCATTATTATTATTATTATTATTATTATCATTATTATTATTATTATTATTATTATTATTATTAATATTAATAATAATAATAATAATATTATTATTATTATTATTATTATTATTATTATTATTATTATTATTATTATTATTATTATTATTATTATTATTATTATTATTATTATTATTATTATTATTATTATTATTATTATTATTATTATTATTATTATTATTATTATTATTATAATATTTTCGCTCCCCAGGCTCCGATGTGGGTCAGTAACCTGTGCTGGGGTGGGCTAATCCCCGTAATAAAAGAAAGAAAAAACAAAAACTCATATCATTTTATCATAGCTGGATGATAGTTGTACTCGATTCAGAGTGAGAGCAAAATATAAGTAGTATTAGTGTCCGTCAGTCAGGGGGGAGTCTCCGCAACGTCGTGTTTTCTGTTCTCTTTCAAATTTCCTTAGAATCCCGTAATATGTAAAGTTAATATATAAAATTTGACGCTTTATTAGACTAAAAGCTTACTAATAAAATGTGGCACTGAGGATAATTAGGAATGAGAGGAAAAAATTGACTTGAGCATCTCCCTCCCACCGCCATACTACCTGAAACCATCACCAACCCTCTCTCCTACCAGGAACCCTCTCCGGTATGACTTTTATACCTGTCCCCCTGACACTCATATAAGGCAACTTATATCATCGATACATTGTGTAGTTCAGAGAGGATGTGCACATAGACACGTCATGGATTGGATTGTTCACATGATCGAAGTGTCTAGCAGACGGTGCAGCGCGACTTGTGTGTGGAAGGCATTTCGTGTGCGCTCGCAAATTCATTGGTTCTCGTCATTCAATTTAAGTTGGTTTGTTCCTGACAGTGCTGGCAACACGGCATCTAGGCATGAAACGCTCCCTTTAAACCGCAGAGCAAAGCTTAAATTTTGCTCCCGGTGTTCGTGCGTGCGTGTCTGTGACGGTGTAACAAAACCAGTTTTGGCAAAACTGCCTGGCACAGGACTTTTGATCGGGACTGTACATGTTGATTCTTTATGGCAATAATGTTAATACATAATAATAAACAAAGATTAATAGTGGTAAATCATATGCATTGAACTCTGTAACGTAAACCATAAAATACTATGTCAAAACCGAAAGATAAAGCATCTCTGCTCGGCTGTTCGTTGGACCTACTCATTTTTGCAAATGAGTAGGTCCAACAGGATATTTAATAAATAGCATAAATTCGATTAATCTTTTTTTTTTAACTTCTGTTTGGTCATTGATGATCATGTAGATTATCATAATACATAAATTACAAATGCATAATTCCATAGAAAACATAACCCTACCTTATCTTATTTTCCCTAACCTGACCAAACCAAACCTCACCTAACATAACCTAACCTACAGTACTTCAGGTATAATTTGGCTTTCTTCTGGTAGTAATCGGCGTCTTACAACAACAACAACGAAAAATTACACATATTGGGCAAAAACTTCAGTTGCTTTTTCAGGATTAAATTGTAGTTATCTCTATCTAGCGAAACACACACACACACACACACACACACACATATATATATATATATATATATATATATATATATATATATATATATATATATATATATATATATATATATATATATATATATATATATATATATATATATATATATATATATGCAGACGACTGTGAACTACAGACTCACTGGTGTGACAAATAATTAGTCCCGAGTGAATGCAAAAAGATGCCAGACATTATATAAGCCAAAACAAAACAAGAACTAAAATGGACCTACTCTAACGATAAATATTCTGAAGCACTAGTAGAAGCTTACCTGATAAACCAAAGAATTAAAATTAGGAGACACAACTTCAAAAAAGAAGAACAATGGAAATTCCAAAGAATCCGTAACGGACTGGTTCCGGATAAGAGATCGCCACGGGCGCAACAAACAAGAAACAAAAAAATCAAAACCCAATGAATAACGACAAACACAGAAGACTTACCATCATACAACACAACGTCAGCAACTGGGAAACAAATAAAAACAACCTTGCAAACACATACCTCAGCATTGATCCGGACATAATTTTAATAAATAGTCACGGCAATTCAAA